CCCTAAGTGACAAATAAGGATGCTCTACACAGTCCAAGCTTAGGCCACAGTTCACAGCTCAAAGGAATGAAGGGGAGATTTGAAGTCAGGATCCTATACTGCACTGTGTTAGCTGAGCTCCTGAAGCAAAAGTGAGGGAATAGACAAGCTGGCTTTCTTGCTGACTCTCTCTCTGTTAACTGTAAAAATCTCACTTTCCTAAAGAACTCCTTTTCCCTTCATACACGGTTAAGGGGTATGGCAATCCCTCTTAACCACAGTATAAACGGTGATGGTGACCCTCCATTTGGGGAATGGCTAAACACCTAGTTTCAGCAAAGTTCTCTGTAATCTTCCTTCTGTCACTTTGCAAAGCAGCATTTCACTTTATTCCAAATGTCATAAGCTCCCAAATGCCCCCTCCCTCAACATGCAGTTCTCCAGGAAAAAAGTCACTAAACACCCTTACTTCTGCTGCAGGAGGTCAGTCTTCCCATTCTCCTGCCTTCAGCATCTGTCATCAAAAGTTGGACAGCTAGCACATCAGAACACAGCAGCAGTCCCACATTGCTCAGCAGCCCTGAAATATATGCCCAAAGCTGCCAGCTTTCCAAGTGGTGCTGGCTCCACAGGCACATGAAAAGAGAAGGAAGGGGAAGCGACTTCTCCAAAGAACAGACACAACACAAAATCATTTGAAAAAAATTTTTCTATTAACAACTACCACCTAGCAACAAGCCCATCTTGAATGTGCTCTATAATATTATTTCACCAACAATGAGCCCAGCTCCAGTTTCAAGGATACTGAAGCCTAAAACTTATAGCAACTTAGACAATAGAGAGAACCTGTTTGATTTATGGAGTGGGTCAACCAAAAGGAGCAATGCAAAAGGAAAGCAGTCAGCCTGGGGTGTTTCCCTCCTTTTCCCATCTACTTCCACTCATACTTATCCTTTGTGAGAAGCCAAGCATTCCAAGTCAGAAGATGCTTCTGGAATATAACCAGGCTTGGACACAGAGAAAGGAGCTTTAAAAAAAGAGGCCCAAATTTTCTCTTGAATACCCTAGCTTTATTTCAAGGGTCATCACTCAGATGGAGGCTTCCAGAACCTTTTACAAGATAAAATCTGATTCCAAAAGCATCTGAGAAGATAGTTTTAATCATGTATGAAGGGAAGAAGCCCAACAAGCTTTACATTTACTGATTATCTCTAAGCAAGCACTGTACTAAGAACTCTGTTACTATAACATGCACTTATTCAACACACATCTGAGACTCCACTATGTGCAAAACACTGATCTAGGAACTGGGGATATGAAAATGAACAAATACTCAAAATCCTACCTTTCACTAAATTTATACTTCATTTTATTTTTGTGGTGCTGGAGATTGAACACATGCTAAGCAGGCACCCTACCAATGAGCTACACCCCCAGCTGGAGTCTACATTTAGTTATGGTTGACAGAAATAAATTTATGTCAGATGGTAATAAATACTATGAAGAAAGATAAAGCAGACTAAGGGAGCACTACATAAAATTTTACATAAAATTCCGCCACCTGCCTTGCAAGCACAAGGTCTCGAGTTTGATCCCCAGTACCAAAAAAAATTTTTTTTTACATAAAAATAAAGCAAGGGCCAGGTGTGGTGAAGCACCTGCAACCCCAGCACCCAAGCTGGGCATGGTGGTACACACCTGTAACCATGAATTTGAGTTTGATTGGGGCCAGCCTGGGCTACATAGTGAGTTCAAGACCAGCCTGAACTATATAGTCCTACCCTGTCTCAAGAAAAAAAAAAAAAAGGGCCGGGGATTTAGCTTAGTGGTTCTGTTGCCTGCCTCACAATTGCAAGGACCTGAGTTCCATCCCTGGTGCCAAAAAAAAAAAGTTAAGGCCAGGGATTTAGCTCAGTGGTTCCACAGCCTGCCCTGTAAGCGCAAGGACCTAAGTTCGACCCCTGGTACCAAAAACAAACAAACAAACAAAAAACAACAACAACAAAAAAAAAAAAAAAAGAAAAGGAAAAAAAAAATTCTAGCAGCCAGGAGGATGAAGTAGGAAGATTGCTACAAATTCAAAGGCCAGCCTGGATTATACAGAGACTGTCTCAATATACAAAAAAATGAACAAACAATAAAAGCCAGAGAGGAAGTACTATTTTAGATACAGTTGTCTTGGAAGACATAACTGATAACAATAGTAAGGGCTACCACATATATATGCAGTACTTCATTTAATCCTCGGCAACTCTAACTTCAATACTTTCACCATCCCCACTTTGCAGATGAGAAGATGGAGCCTGGTGTGGTGTCACACACCTGTAATCCCAGCACTCAGGAGGACTGCTATGAGGCCAGTCTGAACTACACAGCGAGATCCTGTCTCAAAAAACAAACAAAAAAAAAGAAGAAGAGGCAATGGAACTTAGAGAGGTAAGGATCTTTGTGGAGTCTGTAGTTCGGGTAAGTAAGGTCAGAGGGGACCAAGGTCCAGATTATATTGGCCAGGGCTTGAATTCTCAGGGATCCAACTCCAGACCCCATGCTTCTCCTAACACATCATGCTACCATGTTAATAGAGACCTACAGCCTCAAAGAAGTCAAATGTAACTATGGTCACAAAGTGGCGGGTCCATCTAGCCCCCACATACATGGCTAAAAGATTAACGAAATCCAATATTCCCAAATATCAGACTATTACTCTCATCACCAGCTGAAAGTCAAACCATATGTTGAAACAAGAAGAGAGACACCTTGGGCTCTTTAAGGCCAGCTAATAAATGTTGAATATGTTCCCCTCCTATCTCCTACCCCAAGATGATATAACACTAAGACAAGATGATACAGTATTAAATAAAGAGAGACATGCTTTGCTGCTAATTCTCCAGGTTAAAATTTCTCTCTGGAACACATGCAAGGAAAGACTGAGCTTTACAGCCACACCAGCTCTCTGAGGTGAAGAGGAGGGGACAGACAAAGATCAGTAGCAAGGAGAAAAGAAGCCCTCTCCAGTCCCATTTCAGAGAAAGTACAGCTCTCCCTCAAGCCCCAGAGTACCTGGATGGTAAATGGGAATATGAAACCCTTTCTTCAGAAGCATAAGGAAGGACAGACAAAAGCAGAGGGAACCGACCCCCACCTCTGGAAGGGAGGGAATACAGAAAAAGGCAGGAGGTAATTGAAGAAGGCTAAAATTGCTTCAAGCAGGGAAGTCCAAAAGAGAAACACCATATCCAAGGTCAAAGGGTATTTACAGAATTACTGAAAATCCCAGGTTGAGGCTCCAAGCCAAGGTACAAGAAGCTAAAAGACAAACCCAGGCAGAGTCCCACAAGGTTCAAATCAAAGGTCACTGTTTGGACCCACCCATTTTATAATTGTATTTCACAGCCAGGGCAATTGTGGCCAGTTAATGAACAATCAAGTAGGAGGAGAAGGTGAAGAGTCACCTCAGAGTGGAGCATATTAAGGGACTTTTACTCACAGCCTGGATTTCCATCTTATAACCCAACTAACTTGAGCACCCTAATTTAAACGCTAAACTGACCTCCAAAAGCCTGCAGACTCTCTTCCCATCGACACACAACAGAGCAACTGAATGCTGTCTCCCTCATCAGTAACTTATTACCTCTTCTCCAGCAAGTCAGGTCTCATAGCCCAACACTGCACCAAACAAATTATGACCTGAATGGCAAGAAAAAACTGTGTCATCTAGAGAAACCCAATTAACAACATGACTTTGCTCTCTTCTATTCCTCTCTTCCCTCCCTTCATATCCGGGGCACCTGTGTAGCTGACCGCCTTTTCCCACAACTGGCCATGTTCCTTAACTCAAAAGCCAGACAGTGTGAATAGGGGCCTCCTGAGAAGCCAACCTAGAGGTGGGCAACTGCTCTCCCTTCACCATGGCCTGCTGAGAAAGCTGGAAGGACACAGGACCCACTCACTGAGTAACAACATCCTGGAGGGTTCACCTTGAAAGCACCAAGTTGCCCTTAAGCCAAAGCTTCCTCCAGAAAACATAAATGCTGCTAGAAGCTCCTAAAGTAAGTGCCCCACGTGGGACAATAAATGGCTATTTTAAAGAAATTCGTGCTGCAGTTGCTTTCTCTTAACCCCTTTCCTAATTAGCTCCTCCCTTGAGAGCTCTCCAGTGCCTCCAACTCCACTGCTTCTCCCAATCCGACTGACCACTTGCAGCATGCGTTTTTTGTGTGTACATGTATGTAAACATCCTCTTCCCAGTCCGTGCTAGAGTTTCTTAAGGAAATAAATGCTTCCCCTCCTCCCCCAGAGCACTTGTCTGTCCTCCCAGCCCTGCACTGCTACCGAGTTGATAATGTAATATTCAGAGACCCCGAGACCGGAAATGCCTGAGTCTGGACTGCTGCACTTGAAACCGGAGAAAGGGGATAGGGAAAACTGAACGTGGGATTGAGGGAGACCGTGGGAGGTATGGGGTGGAATGGGGAGGCTGAAAAGCTGACCCGGGAAGAGTTGCAATTCAGGGGTGGGCGAGGAAGAGAAAAGGATGAGTAGGAGGTTGTCAAGGCAGTTGAAAGTCAAAATTCGGGGAGCCAGGAGAGAGTGGGGGGAGATACAAGTAAGGAAAAGGGCGAGAAGAGGGCCACGAAGGGGTGAGGGGCCACAATAAAAATAAATATTCTGCAGATGATAAGGGAACCTAGGTTTAGGCAAACCAGAGATGACCCTCAAATACCTTGGAGGAAGAGGGTACCGAGCCCCAAAGTAAAAGCTGGGGTGGTAGGGAAATGTGGGGGCGGTACACCACAGGGTGGAGACTGAATTGGCTCCCAGAATCTGCAGCGAGTGGAGCGAGGAGAGCAGAGGGCGGGGACCCAGCAACGGCGAGAGCCTGGGGAAGGGGCAGGGATCGCCGAGGGAAGCGGGGCTGGTAGAAGGGGGCGCCCCGGAAGCACGTGAAGCGTGCAGCCCCAAGCTCCCTCCCCTGCGGCGAGGGCTGGAACCAGAGCTACAGTGGGGGAAGGCGCGCTCACCCGCAGGGCGGACAGGTCGATGTCGTCCAGGCTGCGGGCGGGGGCCGGGTCGCCCATGGCCTCCGCGGTGAACCGAGCCACGGGGCCGCTCACGCTCCGGCTCGGTTATTCCACTGCTGCTGTCGCCGCTTCTCCCCCATCGGGGGAACCTGAGGGTGGACTCCACCGCGCCTCCCCCAGGAGAAGGAGGAAGAAGGTGGGCCGGCAGGAGGACCGACCCACGACTGACAGAAGCTGTAGCCCCGGAGTCTGCAACCCAAGCCTCGCGGCTCTCCAGCGCAGGCGCAGAGCGGCGGTGCCCAGGAGGATGGAAGAGCGAACGTGACGCGAGCGCGCCGAGTTCCCCCTCCCCCTAGGCGCCGACACCTGCGCGCAGGCGCAGGAGAGCCAGCGAAAGGCGCGCTCCTGGAGCGAGAGACCGCGCGAGCCGGGCTAGAAAGAAGTGGGCGCCGGCCGAGGCGGGCAAGCGGCGCGCCCACCAGCTGGCGCGCGTGCGCATAAGCGTTTCCTTCACTTTCCCTATTTTTTGCCCTCTCTCTCCTCTATTACCCTCTTAGCTCTCCTTTGAGAGCCTTTCCTTCTCTCTCCCATCGTTTTTCGTGTGCCCAGCTGCCAATCAAGCTACCCACCTCTCTATTTGCGGGGGAAGGGAGGCGGGACTCAACCCCCTCTATTACTAGGGGGGTTGTTATGGTAACTCCCCACGCGAGGACTGGGTGGCCCCTAGATAGGACGGGCTGTCCACCTACCCAATTGTCATGGCAACAGTGGAGCCGTTGAAGGAGGGGCCTTTCTGTGAGAACTTGGCTAGAGAATCCACGTGGGAGTTGGGTAGGGGAAGAGGGACTGGTTGCCTCAGGGAGGCCCTTTACTCCTTTCCCTAGCTGGAATAGGGAGTGTCGAGGGGATCTCAAATCTCAGGGTAGGGAAACCTACTGCAGACCTTTATGTCTTAACAGGTGTTCTGCACAAAGGAACTGTTTGGGGAGTTATTCCCTGGCTGATCATTGGAATGGAGCAAGGCGGAAAGGAACAGGAAACTATCCAATCACTTCAGATCCTGCTCTGGTCACCTTAGATCTAGTGATGTTGGCACAGCACCCCAGCCATTAGGCTCACTGGAGACTAGGTAATGCTATGTAAGAACTGAATCCTCGGGCCAGGTGTGGCAGTGCATGCCTATAATCCCAACATTCAGGAGGCTGTGAGGCAGAAGGATTGTGGTGAATTCGAGGCCAGCCTGAACTACACAGTGAGACCCTATCTCAAAAAAAAAAAAAAAAAAAAAAACGACCAGCTTGTACTACACAGCAAGCAAGACCTTATCTCAAAAAGCAAAACAAAACAAAAACCAGAGTCCCCTGCCACTGCCTGATGTGCTGTGTGACCTTGAGCAAGTGGATTTGCTTCTCTGAGCATTTCTTTCACTGTGAGGTTAGAAGTCTGTGTGAGCTCAAGATCTCTTCCAGCACTAACACTGTCTGTGAAAGATTATCAGCATATAAACATCACTTTGGAGAGTTTGAATGAAAGGTCTTTGGAAAAGAGCTGAATGCCCTTCTTTCTGGACCCTTAGTACATGTGGATGCACATCCAGTTTCCCTCTCCTCACTTACCTTGTCATTGTCTTTTCCAAGCCACAATCCCATTTACCTCCATTACTCTTCCCATGACCTCATCAAGTCAATTCTTCATACCTAAAGTCATTTTTATAAAATTCAAATCTGACATAACTCTCATGTGTAAAACCTTTTGGTGGCTCCCACTGTCCTCTGGATAGTCTGAAGTGTGGTATCTAAGTCTCCAAGCCTGGTGTGGTGGCACATGCCTGTAATCCCAGCACTCAGGAGGCTGAGCCATGATTGCCATGAATTCAAGGCCAGCTTGGACTACAAAGTGAGTTCAAGGCCAACCTGAGCTACATAGCAAGACCTTGTCCAAAAAAAAAAAAAAAAAAGTCTCCCAAGATTCTCCTTGCTTCTTCTACTTTATTTTTCAATATTCCACTTCTCCCAACAACATCTACCCTCATTATCCTTTGCTTTTCCCACATATCTAAATCACTTCCTCTATGAAGCCTTCCTTGAACCACTGAGTTCGGTTTTAGTTGTCTGCCTTAAGTTCTTGGTAACAACATTTAACACTTTAAATTGTAAATGTAACTGGAAATATGTTAAATCTACCAAAAAGCAGAAACAATATTTAATGATGTCAGTCTTGTACAGCATGTGATCTGGCACCCCATAGAGGTTCAGGAAGGCTTATGTTGAATGAAGGCCTCTATTATCTGGGTAGGCACTATAGTAGTTCAAGGCCAAGACCACTTGTAGTCCTACCTCAGGAAGCTGAGGTAAGAGGACTGCAAGTTTGCCAGGCTGAACAATTTAGCAAGACTCTGTCTCAAAATTAAATAAAGGCTTGAGGGTGTACCTCATCAGAGCACTTGCCTAGCATTCTCGAGGCCCTGGGTCCAATCCTCATTACCAAAAAACTATTGGATAGTAATAAAAACATAAGTGTTAAAGTGAATGCTTTATATAAATCCTAA